ACCGTGCCTTCCCTGCGTCGAGGGGCGGCAGCGCGCCACTCCTCACTCCTCCTCGTTTCCTCCGACCACTGCTCCTCTGCAGACACTCTACATGGACGTGTGGGGCCCCGCCCGCGTCAGTGGGACGGACCAAGAGCGCTACTTCTTGCTGGTCGTTAACGACTACACGCGCTACACCACGGTCTTCCCCTTGCGCAGCAAGGCGGACGTCCGCGGTGTTTTGATCCCCTGGATCTGCACATCTCGTCACCAGCTGCGCGAGTGGTTTTGGCGGGACCTTCCAGTCTTGCGTCTGCACTCTGACAGGGGCGGTGAGTTCTCTTCTGGCCTCCTTGCGGAGTTCTGTCAAGACGAGGGCATCGTCCAGTCGTTCACGCTTCCGGCCTCTCCACAGAAAAAGGGGATTGCTGAGCGTCGCATTGGCTTGATCGTGGAGGTTGCTCGTACCTCCATGATCCATGCGGCTGCTCCCCATTTTCTGTGGCTGTTTGCGGTCCGATACGCCGTGCATCAGCTCAACCTCTGGCCCTGTGTCTTTTTGCCAGAGACCTCGCCCACACTCCGTTGGACGGGAGAGGTTGGCGATGCGTCGGCGTTTCGGGTCTGGGGCGCGCTCTCCCTTGTTCGCGATACCACCGCGAGCAAGCTCTCTCCTTGCACTCTCCGCTGCGCCTTCCTGGGATTCCCCACCGACGCCCCGCCATGGCAGTTTTACCACCCTGGCTCGCGTCGAGTCCTGTCTTTCCAGGACGTCACCTTTGACGAGTCTGTCTACTTCTACAGGCTCCACCCGCACACGTCCGACCCGGTCCCCCTGGCGCCTCTCTTCCTATTACAAGTTCCCCCACCAGTAGACCCCCTCCCCCCACAGGGTCCTGCTCCCTCACTCAGGTAAACCCACCCCCCTTGGTTGAGCCTTTGGTGGTCTCCTCTGACACCTCTGGCCCGGCTGAGGGGGGTGACCCCGCTGCTGACGACACGGCGGCCACTCGTCGCTCTCCACGCTTGGAGACCCCTCCTGGTTTTCCGCCTCGGCCGTCTTCGCCGCCAATGCAGCCTATAGCTGTGGACACTGGTGCTGCTGGGGGTGGTGACACTGGGGGTGAGCACTCTGGAGGTGCTGGTCCTGAGGGTGCTGAGACTGGGGGTGAGGGTTCTGGGGGTGCTGACTCTGGGGGTGCTGTGAGTCCTAGTGGTGGTGGGGCCGTGGGTGCTCCTACTGCAGGTCCTGGCGTTGGACAGCAACAGCTGCCTAGTTAACTCGAGACGCCCTCACCGCAGCAGCTTCATGAGTGGGTTGTTCGGCGAGGCCGCTCTTGTGCTGGAGCTTGGAGTTTTATAGGTACCAGAGCTGCTGGTGCTAGAGGTCCTACTGGAGGTGCTGGGGGTGCTGGAGCTGCTGGTGCTGGAGGTGCTCGTACAAGAGGTGCTAGAGCTGCCAGAGCTGGTGGTGCTGCTGGTGCTGGAGGTCCTGGGGGTGCTGGAGCTGCTGGCACTGGATGTGCTAGTGCTGTTGGTGCTAGAGGTGCTAGAGGTGCTGCTGGTGCTGGAGGCGCTGGAGCTGGAGGTACTAGAGGTGCTGGATCTGCCGAAGCTGGTGGTGCTGCTCGTGCAGGAGGTGCTGGAGGTGCTACTGGAGGTACTGGAGCTGCTGGAGCTGCTGGTCTTAGAGGTGCTCGTACCAGAGGTACTGGAGCTGCCGGAGTTGGAGGTGCTGGTGCTGCTGGTGCTGGAGGTGCTGCTGGTGCTGGAGGCACTAGAGCTAGAGGTACTGGAGGTAGTGGAGCTTCTGACGGTATGGGTACTGCGCCACGCCGACCGATTTTCTACCTGCAACCGCAGTCGTCCCTGCCACCGCCTGACTTGACTCTTCACCAAGTTCTTAGTCTCCCGTCTTCCACTGGCATTAATCCACCGCTCCTGTGTCTACCGTCTGCCCCGTCTCAGACACAGTTGCCGCCTGGCTCCCCTCTGCTTGCTCCTTCTCCCTACACTAAGCTGCCAGACTCCCTGAATGAGCGTCGTGAGCCTGAGTCTCGTGCCTCCACACCTGTTCATGCTCGTCGTGTTGCCCGTCCTCGTCCTCCTGCCGTGCCAGGCACTCATGTTATGGCACTTCGTCCTTCCTCTGTTCCACATCGTGTTGCTTTGCCGTCTCCTCCGGCGTCTTCTCTTCCTGACGTGCCTGACCCTAAGTCCTACCTTGCTCATGCTGCCAGGCCTACTGTCACTCGTCTCCTCGCCACTGACCCTTCCTTTGAGTCTACTGCTGCGTTTGCCCTAGTCACTAAGCTAGTTGACTTTGCTGCTAGGAGTCGTCTTGACTACGTCGCGAATCTTGTTACTGAGTCTGAGTCTGTCTGTCCTCCGTCCGTTGGGGGTGAGTCTGCCCTTGGCAGTGACGTCCTTGAGGACATGCAGTTTGAGCTTGAGTGGCTTGCGATCGCTTTACCTCGTTTCGCATCCATGCTGCTTTGCCCTGAGGGAGAACCGGATGCACTTGACATCCCTACCCCGCGTGCTTACGCTAAGGCAATCGCGGGTGAGTGCTCCTCTCAGTGGCAGACAGCCATGGACGCTGAGATGGCTTCCTGGAAGTCCACAGGCACCTACGTCGACAAGGTTCCTCCTATTTGGGCGAACATACTTGATGGCATGTGGATTTTCAGAGTGAAGCGGCCGCCGGGTTCTCCGCCTGCCTTCAAGGTGCGTTACGTTGCTCGAGGCTTCAGTCAGCAACAAGGGGTCGACTTCTTCCATAACTTCTCCCCCACCCCAAAGATGAGCACTCTTCGGGTGTTGCTTCACGTTGTAGCACAGCGTGACTACGAGCTGCATTCCCTCAACTTCTCCACAACTTTCTTGCAGGGCAGCCTTCACGAGGAGATCTGGCTGCGCCGCCCACCTGGCTTCACTAGGTCGTTTCCTGCGGGTACCCAGTGGAGCTTCTGGCGGCCAGTCCATGGTCTCTGCCATGCGCCCCGCGAGTGGCACGACACACTGAGGACAACACTTGCGGCTCTTGGGTTTGCTCCTTCCTCTGCTGACCCGTCGCTGTTTCTACGCACCGACACTTCTCTTCCCCCGTTCTACGTTATAATGCACGTCGACGACTTGGTTTTTGCTACTGCTAACACTGAGACACTGGCCCTAGTGAAGGCGGAGTTGCTGAAGAGACACACCTGCACTGACTTGGGTGAGCTGCGGAGCTATCTTGGCTTGCAGATCACCCGGGACAGAGCACGGCGCACCATCACCCTGACTCAGTCACACATGGCGCACCAGGTCCTTCAGCGCTTCGGCTTCACGTTGTCCTTGCCATAGCCCACTCCTCTGCCTACTGGCCACTCGCTCTCAGCTCCACCTTCGGACGAGTCCGTAGAGCCGATTGGTCTGTATCCAGAGCTTGTGGGTTGCCTCAAGTACCTGATGACGTGCACACAACCTGACCTCGCGTACCCTCTCAGCCTCCTGGCTCGCTACGTGGCTCCCGGTAGACACCGAAAGGTGCACTGGGATGTTGCGAAGAGGGTACTCCGTTAGTTGTGCAGTACGTTGGGCATGGGGCTTGTGCTAGGAGGACGGGACTCAGTGGTACTCACAAGTCACTCAGACGCTTCCTGGGCCGACGACCAGGCGACTCAGCAGTCGTCACAGGGTTACACATTCAGTCTTGACTCTGGTTCTGTCTCGTGGAGGTCTACTCGTTCGTCTTCTTTGCTTGGTTCCAGCTATGAGACTGAGATCTACGCTGGGGCCATGGCTGCACAGGAGCTACACTGGCTGACCTACCTGCTGTCCGACTTAGGGGAACGGCCTCGTTCTCCTCCAGTTCTTTACGTCGACAACAAGGCCATGCTTGCCTTGTGTCACGAGCAGAGACTGGAGCACAGAACGAAGCACATTGCTCTTCGCTACTTTCTTACTCGAAAGCTGCAGCAACGTGGTCAGCTTCGCCTTTCCTTCGTGGCCTCTCGGGCCAACACTGCTGATGTCTTCACCAAGGCCCTCGGGTCTGGTGATCATCAACGTTTTTGCACTGCTCTTGGGCTTCTGCCCCCTCTGCCTCACCTTCTTGTCTCTTGATCTTGCACTTGTACACTGATGTCTATATTTGTACCTGTATGTTTACTCATGCTAGGTTGTTATCAGTGTACTGCCTTGCTAATATAACTCTGCATGTGAATTGGCCTTGTAGCCGCTTGCTTGTGCTCCGGATGCGTGGTGATCTTGAGATCCACCGTGGGCTTTGCATTGCTTTGTTCTCTTGCCTGACTTGTCTTGTGACCGTTTGTTGTGTTGGCTATCCCTCACTTTGCCTAGGGGGGTGTGTCAAAACATATTTATATGTTGTTAGTTCTTCTAGGCTACAGTGAGGTGCTCAGTATAGAGTACAACCCAGTTAGGGGTTACTACTCGTATCCCACCCTTGCATAGTTCATCCATTACTTCACAGTTCTCTCGACACGCGCCTCAGTAATTGTTTGAATGCATTTCCTGTGCTTGCACTTCAAATTCATTCTGCTTTCAACCGTCTTCGATAAATGTTTGTGTCGCTCGGTCTTCGTCATCGCTGCAGTCATCTTCGCGTTAACGATTCGTTACGTTAGGAATGTTTTTCAACAATTCCATATCGTAACATGATGGACCGAAATCAACATCTTCCCTGAGCCATTGTTCATGCAATGTAGGCCAACAGTGACGCCCAACATGATTTCAGTTATGTTGACATCTCCGATGCAGGTTGACAGTGAGTCCGGGCACCACCCAAAAGCACAGCATGGTATATGCATGCATCTTACATAGGAAATGTGCACCTCAAATAGGGGGTGTAGTGGATGCTGGCAAACCACCTGTTCTACCCCTGAGGTGCATTGAACCTAGACTTATTGATGCAGGCATGTTTTGAGAATTCTCAAAAACCAGCTACTGTATGATGCATTGAACCTAGACTTGTTTCAAGTACAGTATATTACATCAGGTGCCCGCATCCGATCTGACTAAGCGCGCGATCCGCATACGGGATGCGGGTTGGTGTCCGTGTCAGCAGCAGGGGAAGAAGCGTGGCTTTGAGGGAAGCTGGTACTCTGTAACGGGCTGGAGGAGGGATTGGAGGAAAGGGAAAGGGTGTGGAAGAAACGTGGGGTGGATTGGGTTGGATGGAAGCTGGTACTCTGTAATGGCCTGGAGGAGGGATTGGAGGAAAGGGAAAGGGTGTGGAAGAAAGATACGCGGGCTGGTTGGATTGGATGGAAGCTGGTACCCTGTAATGGCCTGTAGGAGGGGTGGGAGGGAAGAGGGGCGTATGTTTGGGGAAGAAGCACGGAATGGATTGCACTAGCATGGCTAAAGAAATAATTATTTGACGGGAAGAGAAGTTCCTTGTGCAGAGGGGGCACACCTTTGTCACATAGACCTCAGATGAAGCACAGTAAGCGAGGGCTCACCTTGAGGTTGTCGGAGGTTGGAGCAGAGAGAGGGAAGACCACCCACACCTCTCGACACAGGAACAGGCGACTCCTGCTCTCCCTACCACAGCCATCAACTGATTACTGGAGGCACCTCAGAAGGAGCACGGAAGGCCAGACAAGGCGAGCCACACTCACCTTGAGATTGTCCGAGGTAGGAGCAGAGAGAGGGAAGACCACTCGCACATCGCTATACAGGAACATGCGAGTCCTACATTCCCTACGGACCTCAATTGATTGCTGGAGGGACTTCAGACGAAGCCCACAACAAGGCAGACTCACCTTTAGGTTGTCCGAGGTAGGAGCAGAGAGAGGGAAGACCACGCGCACCTCCCCACACAGGAACAGGCGAGTCCTGCGCTCCCTACCGCCCTCACGCCTGTGTCTACGAGACTCCTTCAAACTCTCCCCTTGCCCCTCCCCATGCCCCACTCTCCCATCGACTCCATTATTCCTCTCCTGTCCTTCCCTTGCCTCCTTCCCGCCCCTACTCTCTGCACCAGCAGCACCAGCATCACCAGCATCACCAGTATCACCAGCATCACCAGCACCACCAGCATCACCAGCATCACCAGCATCACCAGCACCACAACTGTTAGAAGCAGCATCACCAACGCCACCACCAACGCCACCACCAACATCACCACCACTAGCAGCAGCAGCAGCAGCACTGCGTGTCTTGGGCAAGCACTGGAACTGCAGGTGAATCACTGCTCTCACAGCACTCACTGCACCCGACTGCAGCTCCTCTTGCTGCTCCTGTGCACCTGCTCTTCCAGGAGGAGGACTCGGAAGACTTGAGCAGCCTGAAGCTTCCTGGAAGGACGTGGCTGCGTGCTTGGGTGCAAGCAGCGTTCTCTGGCGAATGAAGGTCTGTCCAGATTGGGAGGAGGGGACACACGAGGAACAAATAGAGGGGAGCAACGGAGAGGGGTCGCCAAGGGGAAGGGGTGGGAGATGAGGAAGGGGGAAGAAGGGAATTGATGGAGGTTAGAAAGGGGCGAAGAAGGGCGATGAATGGAGGGGAAAAAGGGAGAAAGGGGAGATGGACTTAGCTTGGAGTTGGGCGTCATGTTGGAGAGATCGTAGTAGCAACTTCATACATAGAACTATCTCTCATCCCTCATCTTGGCGTTCGGCCGGCCGGCCGGCCGGCCGACCGACCGACCGACCGACCGACCGACCGACCGACCGACCGACCGACCGACCGACCGACCGACCGACCGACCGACCGACCGACCGACCGACCGACCGACCGACCGACCGACCGACCGACCGACCGACCGACCGACCGACCGACCGACCGACCGACCGACCGACCGACCGACCGACCGACCGACCGACCGACCGACCGACCGACCGACCGACCGACCGACCGGCCGACCGGCCGACCGGCCGACCGACCCGCCGACCGACCCGCCCACCCACCCACCCACCCACCCTCCCGCCCGCCCGCCCTCCCTCCCGCCCGCCCTCCCTCCCGCCCGCCTGCCCTCCCGCCCGCCCGCCCGCCCGCCCGCCCGCCCGCCCGCCAGCCAGCCAGCCAGCCAGCCAGCCAGCCAGCCAGCCAGCCAACCAACCAACCAACCAACCAACCAACCAACCAACCAACCAACCAACCAACCAACCAACCAACCAACCAACCAACCAACCAACCAACCAACCAACCAACCATCCAACCATCCAACCAACCATCCATCCAACCATCCAACCAACCATCCATCCAACCATCCAACCAACCAACCAACCAACCAACCATCCAACCAACCAACCATCCATCCAACCATCCAACCAACCATCCATCCAACCATCCATCCAACCATCCATCCAACCATCCAACCATCCAACCATCCAACCATCCAACCAACCATCCATCCAACCATCCAACCAACCATCCACACCTTCTCTTGCTCCTAACATGTCGTCCACCTTTGGTTTGTGCGGCAAGTGAGAGACGTCGTAGCAGGAGGAGAAGGTGTGGATGGTGGTGGATTTCACACCTTACCATGCAAAGTAGTCGACACCTCACCTCACCACACTGCACCTCACCACACTGCACCTCACCACACTGCACCTCACCACACTGCACCTCACCACACTGTACCTCACCACACTGCACCTCACCTCATCTCGCCTCCCTCTCACCTCACTCACCTTGGAGTTGGGCGGCATGTCCGACAGGTCGTAGGAGCAGGAGAAGGTGTGGATGGGGGTGCCTTCGGGATTCGACAGTAGCAGCTGAATGCGCCCTCTTCTGCTGCTGCTGCTGCTGCTACTCGAGGGACCATCCACTCACCTCACCTTTCATCTCTCCTCTCTCACCTTGGAGTTGGGCGGCATGTGAGAGAGGTCGTAGGAGCAGGAGAAGGTGTGGATGGGGGTGCCTTCGGGATTCGACAGTAGCAGCTGAATGCGCCCTCTTCTGCTGCTGCTGCTGCTGCTACTCGAGGGACCATCCACTCACCTCACCTTTCATCTCTCCTCTCTCACCTTGGAGTTGGGCGGCATGTGAGAGAGGTCGTAGGAGCAGGAGAAGGTGTGGATGGGGGTGCCTTCGGGATTCGACAGTAGCAGTTGAATGCGTCCTCTCGTGGGCACCCGCACTCTCACCCTCTGCTGCTGCTGTTGCTGCTTCCGCCCATCCGTTTCTGCTCTTCGAAAGTCCCCTGAAGAGTTCGTTTCCACCCAATTATCTGCTGCTGCCGCTTCTGCTCCTGTTCCCCCTCCAACTCCAAACAACAGCTCCCTGCGAGTTTGCTTGCGCCCACCAACCTCCCTTCTGTCCTCTGGAATAGGCACACTGCAACCGTCAGCACTAAGGCTGTTCGCACAGGGAGCACGAGGAACAGCAGCAGCAGCAGTGGTAGCAGCTGAGAAAGCAGCAGCATTGGAAGAATCAGCATCACAGGGAGCTCTACCAGCCTGCTTGCTCGTGCCTAGTTCCTTTCGCCCCACTGCTTCAGCTCCCTTGCCTCCACTCCCCCCCTCCCCCTGCCGTCCCCACACGGCAATGCTGGCAGCATACAGATGTGATGGTGAGGAGGGTAGGAAGGCGGCTGAGAAGGTGGTTCGCACAGGGTCGGCTGTCCACTCCCCTTGCTGCGACAGCACGGCTAGCATGGCTTTAAACCCGCTGATGTACTGCCGTGTTGGGTGGGATAGAGGGACAAGAACGCAGAAGAAGGAGCGCGAGGGGATGAAGAACAGGAGGGAAGGAAGGCGGCTGAGTAGGTGGTTCTGACAAGATCGGCCGTCCACTTGTGAGGCGCCTCAAAAGTAGTCCTGAGTGGGTCAGCCGTCCACTGCCCTTGCTGCGACAGCACGGCTAGCATGGGTTTAGACTCGCTGATTTACTGTCATGGGGGGAATAGGGTGGATAGGGGGGTTAGGGTGGATAGATCAGATCATAAGAAGGCATGGAAACAACTCTATTAATCCACAAGTTTCCACCCCTTACCCCGCTCCCCTCACCATCTTCCCTCTCCCAGACCAGATTACAGGCCCTCACTCACCTTTACCCCACTGTGCTCCTCCTGCCACATCAGCGACTCCTCAAACGAACCAACCAGCGACCGTTTCAGCAAGGATTTCCGCTCGCGACTCCTCTCCCCGCTGCAAGTTGACGTGGCATCGGCTGACGTGGTATAGGCTGACGTGGCAGCCCTGGAAGCGAGCCAGCGGCGGAAAAAGAGGTCATTGACCGTCGGGGCTGATGCTGACGTGGAGCTGACGCAGCAGTTGCCGACGTGGGGTTCAAAGGGAATGGATGGGAAAGGAGTTGGCACGGTCGAACCAGAAAACGTCACATCAGCTGCTGAAGATCCTGGATGAATCTGTGCCGTAGATTCTGCAGGCAAGAAAGTATTGATCTGACGGTTCTGAACACTGGGATCAGTAATCAAAGGTCCACAATTGCTGATCGCCCCATGACCCGGATTCTTTTTTGCAGTTAAGCTGACGTGGAATGGTGTGCCACTAACGAGGGGTGAGCTGTGAAAAGACGATGACAGCTCCTCGCTATGGTCACATGCAGTGCTGATCCTATGGGGACTGTAGCCGTGGTGCTTGTAACGAGTGTTACTGTATTGAAACATTTCGGAACCATGAGTGCTGCTAAAGAGGGCTGGGTGCGAAGGGCTGGCCTGATAGCCACGTGCGTCTCTGTGCTTGCCTGGCGCTTCACTTGGCACTGCCAGCTCAGCACATGTTGCCAGCTCAGCAGCTGCTACCAGGTCAGCACCTGTCCCGGGCAGCAACGGCTGCAGAGCAGCAGACAATCCGCCACGATTGGCGCTGGTGCTTGGCTTTTTCGGGGCAGCAGCAGCTGGTGAAGCTGCAGTGGCAGCAGTGGCAGCTGCAGGGGAAGCAGGGAAAGGTGAAGCAGCAGGAAATGGAGGGGATTGACCTCCTGCTGACGAAGGTCGAAAGCGAGAAGGACGGGGAGACAGGTTTCCGCAGGCAACGGAAAGGCTCGTGCACGAAAGGGGGGGGGGCGACGCCGTGGGGCCGGATTGGCGGAAGCTACTCGCGGAGAAGGAGGATGGGGAAAGGGGATTTGGCGGAAGGGGAGATGGGGGGAGAAAAGACGGGTTGAGTGGCGAAGGGGAGAGGGGGGGTTGGGAGAGGCGGGATGGAGAGTGGGGAAAGAACAAGAGGGGGGATGGGGAGGGGGGAGTGGTAGCTTGCTCCTTCACCTCCTTCTCCTCCCCTTCCGCTTCCCCCTCATCGTCATGCCCCTCCTTCCCCTCCTCGTCTTTCTCCTCCCACCCCTCCTTTTCCGCTTCCCTCCCTTCCGTGGCGTGCATCTGCTCGCCTCGCTGCCCGGCGTGCGACGTCGCCGAATCTCGCAAGCCCATGTGCGACACATGCGACATTTGCTCCTCCTCGTGCTCGTGCTGCTCTCCTGCTTGCGACGGTCGCACCTGATGCGACAACCGCAGCGACTGCCACGTCGGATGAGCGACGCGCGACGGCGGCCCTGTGTAAGGAGCCGCTCCAGAAACCGCCGCTGAACGCGGCGGAAAGCGCGCCGTAACTGCCGGCTGAGGCCCGTTCGCAACCAGAAAATCCCTCGAACTGTCCGCTTGCCATTCCCTTGGTTTCTGTGACTGCAAGACCGGTTTCCGTGACTGCAAGTCTTTTAGCCTCTGCGCCTGCACTTGCTTCGCATTCGTGATCGCTTGAGACGACATGCTCGCACCACAGCAGTCGCCATCACAGGCATCCGAATCGGCGACGGCTGGCGATGTCGCAGGAAGGCCGTCGCACGGCGACGAGTGGTCGGGGATGCGGGAGAGGTGGTTACCCGCAGGAACTCGCACGGGGCTCTTCGCAGACTCGGGAATAGTCCTTCCCATGGCGTGGCCGAAGAGTCAGAAACCTGTAAGATGTTGAAAGTCGTTCAAAAAAACTATTTCGGTGCTAAGCAGGTGCAAAAGTTGGTGTCTATCCCAGCTTTATTTACAACCTTGGCCTGCAGACCAACACCGCACTGAATCGGAGCAACTGCTTATAACGAGTATATCTGAAGGGAACTCCAAGACGTCGCTGCTCAATATTCGTATCGCAAGGACAGCATACGCTCAGATAAGATCAACGGTGTGCTATGCTGTTCGCCATTCTCGCTGTTAGCTGTGAGTTACCATGCAGAGGAGTGAGGGATAAAGATAGGGAGACCAGGATAAAGATGGTCGGACCAGTATTACACCAAGTTATGCACATGAAGCCATGGGATGGGTTGGGATGAGCTGCCATGGACATGGAGAGGAGAGGTGAAATGAATGTGGAGCCATGGAATGGAGCAGAGAATGTGATGGCTTTGATGCGATTGGACGAGATAAGGATTCCTTCTGTTATCCGTGGTCGCTTTATGCATGGCAACTGCAGAATGTTGGCCAACTGGCTCGACGATTATTTCGCGATCGCTGAACGAGATTCAGCGAACTTCAGAAAGGGTAACCTGGAGCTGGCTGGCACTGCGAAGGCTCGCGTGAGCCATCACCAAATGAGTGGATATGTGCTGTCACACCGGCGGCGACGAATGAGATAGACTTTTCCTCCCTGGCCTGATTGTGATTAGTTGGCTGACGCAGATGCGAGTAACCAAACACCGAATGCGAGATGCTAGCTAGCTCTGCGAACATATCAACGAAGGTTTGTCGTGAGGGCGATTGGATTGCGCTCTTGCCAAGCTGGACATTCCGAGTGCCGCAATTGGTGAAAAGGCGAGTCACAATTGCCAGTCAAGTCGATTCTCAAGCTACTACTACCTTGTGAAGCCCAGTAGGATTAATTACCTCAATACTTATAATGGAAATTTCAGGGTCAAGGTCTATCTCATTGAACACCTTAGACATGGCAATCTCTTGACAAAACATCATTTTCATCCATTTTGAATCAAAGGGGGAAGCTGCTGCTAACAGCTCGCACTTCACTCAAATGAGAGGTACACTGACAGCTAATGATAGTCAAGAAAATGCACCATCCAGGGCTCCACACATACGAGAAACTAGAGTTTATGTGTTGGTAGCACGGGTGTAGATGGACTGTGTAGCGTGCGTGGACACAACACGGATGCTGCCTCTCGACAACAGGTCCTTGATGGCCCGCCGAGCCAAGGAGCCATTGATCTGAATGGGGAGCAACGGATGAAAAACATTACTGTGATAATTACACGGCAACAATCACGCATCCTGCTCAGGCTAAACAAATAATTTTAGTCCAAAGACTAGCCAAGAGAGGAAGGAGGAAGAAGCGGGTCAGAGGAAAGTAAACTGGGTGAGGTGTTCAACAAGCCTTGAGTGCTCTACATCTACGAGCTAAAGCGCTCTACGCTAGCCTCTACGTGAACAGGAGGAACACGCGATGGGAACAAAGGGTCAAAATGCGAGGAGCGATGATGATTCAGGACTGTGCAAGCACACAAGATACTCACGCGCAGGCGGTCGCAGAGCACGGAGGAGGTGATGAGCTTCGTCTTGGGGATTTCGGTAAGCATCTTGTCGTACGTGGCCTGGTCGAACAGCACCATGTTGTTCACCTTCTCCTTCTGCTTTCCCTTGCTCCACTTCTGCTCACGAAAATACACAATCACGTGGAAGTACATTTGGTGTATGAGACGACTTGCAACGCTTCCTTCACCTTCACCTTTCCCTTACTCCGCTTCTGCTCAGGGGCGAACCAATCAGCCCGGGGAAGCACTGCCAAGCGATGCCAGGCATAGCGAAGCAAGAGCAGATTCTCAGCCGTAGCACACGCGCGTCACTCCTCACATGGGCTTCTAAGAACACCATGCGAATCGTCTTCATCGACTAAGCGGAGTTGTGCAAGCGAATCTGGCATGCGACGCAAACAGACTACAAGCTAAGCACCCCCCTGCACTGCTTGAAACCAGGCGGCTGACGCAGTGGGTGACAGTGTGGGAGACCTCCATCGTTTGAAACTGGCTAACCGGTAATGATCCCAGACGCTAGGCAATAGCGAGGCACTGCTGGAACACTCTACAATCACGCGATCTCTGCGGCTGCAAGGTGAAGGTCCTCCGAAACCCTAATTTCAATACGCCGAATCTCTCTGCAAATTCAGCTTCCTGGAACACACTAACGTCTGCATCCGTTGCACCAGCTACGCATACTGGGCGGAAATAAGCTTAACGCCTGGGCATGGCATAACGAACGTTACGTCACCCGCGACCCATATGATCTGATGGGGATTGTCAGGACATGGTGCAAACCGTCGTGGAGTGGGTACGGGAAGGTAGCAAGAAGAAAGCAGGAGTACAACAAGCGAAAAAAGGCGAAGAGAAGGAAGAGACGGGGAAAGTTGCGACGCGTTGAACTTCGGGGAATTCGGCTGTGGATAACACGGAGAGGAGCAGATTCCGTGGCACGGAACGTAAAACAAAACGAACCTTTTTCTTCTGCTTGCCGCCTCCGGATTTGGCGGGCTTGGCTTGAGCCTTATCGGCCTTTGCGTCCTTCTTTGGAGCCTGATGACGGAGAGGAGTACGGGGAGGTGACGAAACAGGGATAGCGGCGGGAGAGGGCGGACAAGGGGAGAAGAGCATGGAAGGCTCAGAACAGAACAATTCATTTTCGCTACGAACTGATGACTCGACTCAGTCTGTACTTCATCACTGAATAACGGTGAAACGACGGTAGGCGTCAGCTATTAGGAGCTGGGACTAATCGGCTATACATCAGAAATAAGCGCGCAAAACTCGCAACGTAATAGCTTGCAGTTGAAAAAACACGCGGCGCGGCTTAGTAAGACTACCAAGGGTGAAGCGTAAAGGGAAGCGTACCATGGTGGGAGAAAAGGAGAGACAGAGTTAGGAGGTGCGGAGGAAAAAGAGGTAGCGATGGAGGGAGGCGAAGGAGATGGAGGAAGAGTGGGGGGGGGAGGGCGCTGGCGCAAAATGGAAATGCGCGCAAGCGGAAGGGGGAGCAACAGGGAACAGAGGAAGTTCCCAGTGCAAGTGCAGTTTCTAGTTTGCCTCAACAAAAAGCGGGAGCAAAACGGGATTCTGGTCTTCGTGAAAAAACCCTTTCTCGAAAGAGAGTCTTCTTATGGATTGTGTAATTAGAAACTTATCCAATATTTAGTACGTTTCTTAATACACATAGCGAAAGTAGCTAAATCAAGACTCTCTCTTTGTGTTCCACCTGCAGAGCCGCACGCATCACATCACCGACCGAATGCCTGTCAGCAGGTTCCCTTTCCATGACGTGGCAAAGCATCTACACTCTCTGGCGGCCTTTTTGGGTGTGTGATTATGACGTGGCGCCAGGTGCAGGCAGCTGAACGAACACATTATCCGAGCCTCCGCGCAATGAACCAAAAGGCTAACTTCAGTACCTCAGCCTCAGGTCAGGTTGAGCCTGAAGCCATGGAGTTCGTCTCGCCGAACCAGAAAAAGGTTCTCGATGAAGGTGTTGGCAGGTTCGGCGGAAGCTCTATGCCTTGGTTTTCCCGCCTGATTCCTTCAGGTATGTCGTCAGCATGCTTCTTTGCTTCGCTTTTCCTCACCCAAATGAAGCACCCAGGAAAGGTTTCATGGTGTTTCCTCGTTTGCTTTCTTGTTCTCCGTTCTTACAGAACTCTGATACTATTATCCTTCCATGCATGAACAACAGATCCTTCCTAAATAGGGACTGTTAGTATTCCCAAGGTTCCTAGGGATCACCGTCTCGGGCCTTAGACGTTCCCCTAGTACCTGTTTTGAATCATCTACGCTGCTCGACTAGGTACCGACGGACACGGACCACGCATTTGCACGTAGTCATTTGCTAGATTTTTTTCGCCGAAACGATAATAGCTGCTGAAGCCACAGTTACCTTTGAAAGCGTGATCAACAAAGAAGGTCATGGAGTGGTGTGGATCGATAGCTCGGCCTCCTGCGGGGAGCTCATTGTAAGGGATTTATGCATCACTGATCGCTTTTACGTCTTAGTACGGTGAATGTGAGAGGGCTGCTCGCTAGATTCAAGAGAATCATTTTTTGTTGGCCTCGTCCAATTTAGACTCTCTCATAAGCTCCTTATTTCATTGATCTCTAGGATCGTATCCAAAAAAAAGAATCCTTCTCTTTTATGAACACCCAAATAAGAATACGTTGTACTATTGCAATCTTCGATGTGGTTCCAGGAATGATAGTCACGCACGAACCTCACCAGCCTAATTATGCCGTATCGCGATACGTCATACCAATGCAGCCAAGTATCCGTTTCTTCTCCTTCATCAAGTTCTGATCGACTCTGTTCTTCATTTTCCCGTCACACCCTACCCACACAGAGACCGAATAATTGGTTCTGGAAATATCGCAGAGCGACGAGGGTCCAAAGTTTCATTATCACAATGCTCTAAGAGATCCTTCATCTGTAGCCGTGCTCCGATCTGCCATCAGAGAGCCGTACGGAACATTGGTGCCTGTAACACCAAACTGAACAGCAGCAGCGGCTTAGTAAATCAGCGGGGGGCTTTCTGGGGACAGCAGCAGCAAGCAGCAGCATCTGGGAGGAGCCGAAGGAGAGATGCGGAGAGAGGGGGAGAGGTGGAGCGAGAAAACGTTAGCAGAGGGAGTCGCCTGTGTTGCTGTGCGACTTCGTCGGGAGATGAGGAAGCTTCCGTTCTAGGGAATGGTGCTGCAGCAAGCAGTCCCGAAATGCTAAGGTCAGATTTCCTGTGTTGTAGGCGTGATTTGTCCAGGGGGTGGTTTTGCTGCCAGCAGTCCAGAAACGTCAAGGTGAGAGCTTTTGTTTTCATGATCGTATGGTGGTGCTGAAAGGCAAATGACAAGTTTTTTTTTTTGCCGCGTCCACCGTAGTCGCGACGCGTTATCGCATCCCCCGAACCTCGCAGTGTAACCAAGGCCGAACAATTTGGCCTCGTTCGGGAGCTGATGAGCAATAAAATGGGGTGAACTTGAGAAGAGGAAGGAAAGATGCGACCATGTGGAGGCAGCACAATCTGTCACCATGACATACGTCTGAAAGACGACCATGATTAGGAATGTGAGAACCGTGAACGGCAAAATAAAAGTGGTAAATTACAAACTGAACGCATGCGAATACGGCTTTCGTTCGCATCTCCCAATTGCGTCCCGGACAACCCTTTGTGCCGGCATGAGCGGGGGGAGATGGAATGGAACAGCTGCCATTGGTCTCTGTTTGAACGACCTTCGCATCTTATTTCCGTTCCTGCAGTCATGCGTCTCCCCCACCCCATGGCAGCATGAGCACGGTCGAGATGGAGGTTCTCTCTGATTCCGACTCGGATCGAAGCTCGCTCTGCCACCCTCTTCGCACCCATGTCTGCCACCTTCCCCGTCATCATGCCTTCACTCATCTCTCCCCTCCCCCCCTCCCCATGGCAGCATGAGCACGGTCGAGATGGAGGTTCTCTCTGATTCCGACTCGGAAGAGTTCTTCGCCAGCGAGGCAGACGACGATCCTGACCGTCCATCTCGGGGGCTCAACTCCATCTCGGAAGCCATTGAAGCCATCCGACGGGGCGAGGTGAGCTAGGGAGGGAGGGTGTGTGGGTGAGAAGACGATCTTCCATTCCGAGGTCCCAAATATATCTCGGAAGACATTGAAGCCATACGGCGGGGCGAGGTGACTTAGGGGAATGCAATGTCAATGAGGAAAAAAGGAGGGAAGGAGGAGAAGGGGGGGGAAGAGAGGGAGGTTGGGTCAGAGGAAGCAGTGTGAGGGGGTAGATGACGAGGATCGGCAGAACGAGGATGGATCTTATAATGGTTCTTCCATCCCCCATCCCACCCTCCCGTTCCCCCCTCCCTCCGTCCCCATCTCCAATCAGATGGTGGTGGTGGTGGACGACGAGGACAGGGAGAACGAGGGCGATCTGATCATGGCGTTCACTCCCTCATTGCCCCCTTTCCCCTCTTCCCCCATCTCCCCCCCATCCCCCCCCAGATGGCGGTGGTGGTGGACGACGAGGACAGGGAGAACGAGGGCGATCTTATCATGGCTTGTTTCCCCCCACCCCGTCTTCTCCCCACCCTTACCTTCTCCCCACCTTTCTCCCCCACCCTTTCCTCCTCTCCGTCAGATGGTGGTGGTGGTGGATGACGAGGACAGGGAGAACGAGGGCGATCTGATCATGGCGGGCGCGCTCACAACGGAGGCGGACATGGCGTTCATCGTGCGGCATTGCAGCGGGCTCGTGTGTGTGGGCGTGGCGGGGGCTGTGCTGGATCGCCTGGAGCTGCCTCTGATGGTTCGATCGCAGGAGAACGACGAGGCGCTGAGGACTGCCTTTACTGTGTCTGTGGTGAGTGGAAGTTGGTGGGGGAAGGGGAGGGAGTGGAAGTGTGTGCTTAATCCGCGTGGCAGGGGCTGTGCTGGATCGTCTGGAGCTGCCGCTGATGGTTCGGAGCCAGGAGAACGACGAGGCGCTGAGGACAGCTTTCACTGTCTCTGTGGTGAGTGCGAGCGTATGGGGATGTGAATCTGTGCGTGGGCTTGGCGGGGGCTGTCCTGGATCGCCTGGAGCTGCCTCTCATGGTTCGATCGCAGGAGAATGACGAGGCGCTGAGGACTGCGTTTATGGTGTCTGTGGTGAGTGCCTGTGTTGGGAGGGGGGGGGGGGGGGGGGGGGGGGGAGGATATTGCGTGCTGAATGCGTGTGGGACCTTTTTATATTGCCTGGAGCTGCTGCTGATTATTCGATCACAGGAGAACGACGAGGCGTTGAGGATTGCGTTTACTGTCTCTGTGGTGAGTTTCTGTGTGAGTGGAGCTGCGTGTGTGTGTGACTGCAAGTGGGTGAATGTGCATGTGCGTGTGTGCGTGTGAGTGGCTGCGCTCAAACCAGGGAAGGGAATGCGAATCAAGGTCAAGACCAAAGTCGCACCACACAATTAAGGCCTCGGTTTTGAGCGCAGCCACAACGGGCATATCGGTGTCAGACCGAGCCAAGACGGTGCGTTTCTTCTAACTCGCTCCTGATTTGCGTCTCCTTCCATGCCCCTCGCTGTCACCTCTCAGGACCTGAAGCTGGGAACCACAACAGGCATATCGGCGTCAGACCGAGCCAAGACAGTGAGGGCGATGGCAGACTACTCAAGTGAACCCTCGGACTTCCGCAAGCCCGGCCACATCTTCCCGCTGCGCTGCAGAGAAGGTACGGTTCTCCCTTACGATTCAGCACGTCAGAATAGGTCATGTGAGGATGGCAGACTACTCAAGTGAACCCTCAGACTTCCGCAAGTCCGGCCTCAAGCGCAGCAGAGAGGTACAGGGTTCACGCCGTTTCTTAGAGAGGTACAGGTTTCACGCCGTTTCTTAGAGAGGTACAGGTTTCACGCCGTTTCTTAGAGAGGTACAGGTTTCACGCCGTTTCTTAGAGAGGTACAGGGTTCACGCCGCATCATCCTTTTTTAACTTGAAGGTCTTTCGCACCATATCATACCAATCATAACATATCATACCAATCATAACATATCATATCATGCTATATTTCATTCCCCCTGTGGTGCTCCTGCCTCACTCCCTCCCAGGTGGTGTGTTGAAGCGAACAGGGCACACAGAGGCAGCAGTGGAC